ACTGAAAAGTAACTCAGCCCGACTCAGACAACTTACTGGGGTTATATTCGTAAAAATGTCTTCTGTTTTTTTGTTTGGTCACAGAGGACTATATTGTAATTTCATAGCCCTTTTAGGTTAGATTTGCATTTGATTCAAGTTGGGGTCTAGTATTGGGGTTAAAACCAAGTTGTGGGTTAGTATTGGCAAAAACCCCAAATAAAGTTCCAAAAAAAAAGAGGTTAGTTTTGTGGTTGACTTTAAGTTTCCGGTCAATTATGCAAAAAGCCCTTGATTTTAATTGGTTCGGGTTTACTGTATTAAACACTCCTGATACCTATTCACAAGACTCATACCAGAGAAAAACCATTCACAAGAAATATAACACGAAACGACCATACCTAAATATTAACAAAGCCCCTAGAATTCTTCAGTTAACCCACCACAGGCGACCACCGTGTCACCGTCAAACACCACCGCGGTCCCCGTCCATGGCGTCACATTCTCCGTCTTCAACCACTATCACCTGCAAAAGGTTCGTCACTCTCAACCAATTCTACATACAATAATATTCAGTTGTAGTGGATTTTGACAAAGTTCGATTGTGTTTTTCATCTTTCTTGGTAAAACTGCTTTGAATCCATATTGAATTTCGAATTTTTACGTTCAACTTCTCTATGATATTAATACATTTTTGATAAAGTCTCAAACTTTTGACTTGATTTGAAGTTTTTTTTGTTGTTCTGTAGATCCACATCTCAGAGCGAAGAGGCAATAATGAATCCAAGTTTCTCTGACCTTCCGTCATCCCTTTTGGAAGTAATAATGTCTCGTCTTACATTAAAAGACAACATCTTTGCATCAGCTGCTTGCAAGTCATGGTGTGAAGCTGCAGTATCCACTCGGGTAGTGGAAAAGCATCCTTGGCTTCTCAGTTTCGACAACTATACCAGTTTCTTTGAGCTCCTTGATCCAGTACAGTCCCAGCTGTACACTTTGAATCTGCCAGAGCTAGCTGAATCAACCCTGCTTTACTCAGCGCACGGGTGGTTACTTATGCACTCACCTACCTCGGATGACATGTTTTTCTTCAACCCGTTTACTCGGGAGCGAATAAGCTTGCCTGAGTTTGCGCTACCGTTCCAGGCAATAGCGTTCTCTTGTCCTCCTGCATCGGAAGATTGTGTTGTGGTAGCGTTAAACTTTAAGGTGCAGTATTGTGTCACTATCAGCACTTGCCATCCTGGAGCAACTGAGTGGATCACTAGTGTCTTCCCTGCTGCTATACTGTGTTATACGAAGAGCAAGCTTGTGTATCTCGTTGATCGATTCTACTGCTTTAACGTAGGTGGAGGTTACTTGTACTCCTTTCTCCCATCTTCCAGGACATGGGTTTGCCATGAGGATGCATATTACTTGTACTCTTTTCTCCCTTCTTCCAGGACATGGGACAAGAAAGAAACTTTCTTGGCGGAGAAGGAAGGACAGCTCTTTCTCGTGTTTACTTGTGGCAAGGAGAAGCCAGTGGTGTATAAACAAGGCTCTTTGCAATGGGAGGAGATGTCTAGTACTGAGCTTGATGGCTTCACAATCTTCTTCAGTTCTTATTACTCTGAGTTGAGAACTAATCTTCCATTGATGAGGAACAATCTCTGCTCTTTTGATGACAGACTCATTCGTTGCCTCTCTTACTCTTATGATAAGAGCAGGTACAATCCGCATAAGGAAAGTCTGAGCTGGCTAGAACTTGTTCGTCGTTCAAAGTGCCTCTGGATCGATCCGCCGGATAATGTTTTAGACTATTTGAATTGATTAGGTTTATTTCTTCAAACATAGAAGCAATCATCTATTCATCCAATACTGCTCTTTTCTTTTATTGTATTGTATTGTTTTGTTTTCTGCATTTGTGATAGTTTGATACTGTTATTTGTTTTGTTTTGTTTTTCTGCATTTGTGATAGCCATATTAAGTTTGCCCATTTTACATCCCTAGTTCACCCACTCAAAGTTAAAAAAAAACTTGTTAACATTATGATGAAGGTTTGGGTTCCAAAAACAAAAACAGTCTTCTCAAACAAAGACTCTACAATGGCATGGTGGTCCTATGATAAATCTGAAACAAGCTTCGCAAAGTTCAGTTCTGGACCTATGATAAATCTGAATATGTTTACATCATTTTGCAATGCATAGCTCCTTGATAATGTATGCAGTTTGAGTTACTATTTTTTTTTTTTTGGTGCAAACAGTTACTAGTTACTATGACTTATGAGTTACTAGGTACTATGACTTATGAGGACTCGCGAGACGTGATTGTTTAAGCATCTGCCCATCTACGTTGGTTGCTCTTCTTTTCCCTCTTCACATATGTGTAGTACACGTAAGAAGACTTCTAATTTCTTTTGTGCTCACCACAACCACATGCTTCCCTCCCTCACAGATGAAGCTTATGTTTAATGAAGGTCCGACCGTACATTCATCGAGTTATACATCCCATTGATGGAAGAAATTCTCAGTATGATAGTAGTTCTCATTTCTATTTTGAAGCTCTTCTGTTCAAAATTTTGCACACATTCTATAGTAAATTAGTTGTAGACAAAAACGATCATAAAAGCTGGCAAGTGGGTTCTACTACTACTTGGATATTGGGGTTCTGCAGTCCTTCCTATGAATGGTAATGTATAATCTGAAGGTAAATGTCTTTGTCAAAGCTAGTTTCCCTCCACAGACCATCTGAGATAGTGACATCTTTCTGGTTATATGGAATCTCTGTAGCAGAGTTAAATGATAATACAGATGCTAATGACTGCGAGCGAGCTGATAAATATGCGAGTGAGTTCAGAGGAACAGTGCTTTGCCACAAGAAAGACGAAAACGTCTCCAAATTCTTAAACCGCAAGTACAAGCTCCATATGTCATCAGGTAAAAATACCGAATAGAACACCATGAAACTATAATAGAAAAGAACTTGAAAAATCTTCTAATCTAGAATTAAAAAAATTTCATCATCATCATACAAGTAGAGCTACAAATAAAACAGTATGACCCTATAACATGAAAGGACTTTTAACTAAAAAAACCATTGCCAATAAATCTAGGAAAACCATTTCTTTGTGCTGATTTTTTGCAGACTATGAAGATCCAACTTCGAATCTCCATGTGTTATCTAACTGATATCTTGCCAAGCACCTCCACCAGGGGGAGCCAAACGAGCCTGAATATTTTCAGTTCCATCAAGAAGTAGATTCAACAACACCTCAGGTTGGTAGTAGGATCTGTGTATTGGTACCCACTATCCACCCCAAACGTTCAGAGCCTTTTGCTCTAGTGACCAAACATTACTCCAAGTCATCGCAGTGGCTTTACCCTTTTGTGACACTTTCCCGCTCATTTTCCAAGTTCAAGCCATGGCCCATTGTGGTCATCAGAGTTTTTCTCCTCCATTGGCTCTGACTTAGCATCGGAGCCTTGTTCTTCCTCTTGGTTACCTGTTTCTCGTCGCTCATCATCCTCTTCCTCTGCAGTACCCAACTCTTCATCTCTTCTAGCCCGCTTTGCCCCAATAGAAACACCAAACAACTTCGGAGTCACGTCCTCACCAAGCTTCAGACCAATCCCTGTTTCTATGGCGTCCCTCATCTCTTGTCTCCCCGGCATTAAATCCAACGGTTTCGCACAATCCGCTTGACCCGACGTGAAATTCGACATCAGCTTGTAGATATTCGAATACAACCCTTTAAGCTTTGTCAGCTCTTGACTCAACTGTACATTCTCCTTCCTCAACCTCTCGTTCTCCTCCATCAGCTCCGGCGCGGTGGTGCAGCTCGTCGTCCTCTGCAGAGCCACCACACCAACAGATCCTCCTCCTCCTCCTCCTGTACCCGCAGGCGACGAGTTAGACGAAATCACCTGCTCTTCTCCAGAGTTAGACGGTGAGACAACGTGAGCTAACACCGGAACAGCGGCCGCAGCCGCTGCCGCCTGAGATATTTTCCGGCGTTGAATATCACGAAGCAGAATCTTCTCACCTCTCCGGAAACAATCATTTGAAAACTCCCAACGGTCAGGAACCACTTTTCGAAATCCCTAAACCGTATTAAACCGAGTCAGACCAAATACTAAACCGATAATGAGATTCAGACAAAGTTAGGAAAAAAAAGGGAAAACACTCACGTAAGTGTTGAGCTGTCGGACGAAGCTGGAGAAGTTGTTGTGTTTGAAGTATTTCGGGAGAAGATCTCTCGCGAACTCGGCCGGTTTCCATACGATGAATGCTGATCCGTCTTCGTTCCACGAAATCAATTCGTCGTAAACCGGATCGTCCACAAGCTGGTACGTTTTCGTTAAAAACGGCGTCGGTATTGACCTCTGCGAATCTGTCCCTCCTCCGCCCCCGCCGCCGCCACTGCTTCCGCCACTATTTCCGGCGCTACAACCACCTCCGGCAACCGTCGCGGTTTCTCCGGTTTGTTCCCCCGGCATGTGTTCTAGATCCACACACACCTCAGAAACTGCCGATGGAAAAAGAGCAGATGGATCTATCTACCAATGAAAATGGGCTTCTTTTTTTTAATTTGGTTCTTGTTGTTGCTTGAAGAGACTTTTAATCATGAGATCTGAATTACAGACAAAACTAGACGCATTCGGAACCATTAAACCAAATCTAAAACATTCGAAAATAACTTTCTGTCTTAACGCAATCTTTTCAGTTTTCACCAACCAACAACGAGATTTCCCCAAATCCAGAAAGAGTCCGTAGGGATTTCAAACGTGAGAGAGAAAGAGTGTGTGTTCTTTGTGTTTAGAGGTTCTAGAAGGTTCTCTCAAATACGGAATGATAAGAATGAGAGATATGGAGATAGAGGAGAGAGATGAGAGACAACAGACCGGAAGTTCCAGAAGGAAAAAACTAAAAATGAGATCAAGAAGTAAAAGGGTAGAATGGGGAAAGAAAAATGAGGGGTCTACAAGAAGGAAAGAGTCTAGGAATGTGCGAGAAGGGCGTATGTGGGCTACCTCTCTTTTTCCAGAAGTTTCTTCGTTCTTCACTTTCCTTTTATGACCTTCTTCTCGTTTCATTTCACGAAACGTTTAACTATTATATTGATATATAAGAAGTGATAACATCTTCAAACTAATGCAAGTTGAATCGGTTTTGGAGTCGAGTTTTAGTATCTTTGACTTGACTCTCTTGTTCTGATACATTAAGACCATGAGTAATGAAGATGTTGAAACCCCCATTCAACAGTTGAATAACGTATAGTGAAGGTGTTAGAATTTTAATGTTTATAGACGTGTATCCAATATGCATCGGAAAGTTTCTGTGTTGAAACCATTTTTTTTGGTCTCAGACAGCCACGTGTCACAACGTGAGTGGTGTGACGGCTGAAACCTATGGGATGTGTGCACTCATGTGTACGGGATGATACGCTGTATTTTTTTAAATTTTTTAATTATCTCTCTTCTGATTGGCTATATAGTTTTTATTTTATTTTATCTCTCCCCAATAATTCAAACTCATTTATTTAATGATAAAATTATTTAAAAAGATAAAAATTATATCATTTTTCACTATAAATAGAGACCACTCTCATTTAGTTTGGATACATAAAAAAGATCATTTTCATTATAATCAACTATTTTAGTGTTTTAATCTTTTGTTGAATAACTATTTTGTGTGTTTAAAATTTCTTAGTAGTATGTGTTTGTATTGTTTGTATTTAAATTTTTTTAATTTTAATTGTTTTAATAATAATAAGTTTCGTATTTTTGAAAATCAAATTAGATTAATATCTTATTTAAAAATAACTATGTTCTTAATTTTAATTGTTTTATTAATATTTGTTTTGGTATCATTTAAAAAGTAAGTTAAGTATAATAATTCAAAATAAATATTATTAAAAGTTATGTTATATTAACTTTTAAGTTAATTATTAATATGTAGTTATTCGATTATAAAAAATAAATAATACGAATTAAAAGTTGTGGGGTAGAGTGTTGAATTTTTTAAAACAAACCATTGTAGAGGTTCGAATTGAAGTGTGTGTTGAATAAATGAGGTGGAAGAAAGAGAAGATGATGTCGAATGTATAAAGAGAAAAATGAGAGTGTTGAAAAGGACAAGAGTGTTGAAACCATTGTTGATGGTCTAACAAGAACTAGTATATGACCGCCACTAATGACCGGAATGTAAAGTATTATTGTTTTATGACTTTTTGAGTGTGTCGGAATCATGCTAAACTCAATGGTAATTTTTTTTTTTTTTCTCAACAAGCTCAACGGTAATCAATCATTTGTATTATTATTGTTATAAACTTTTATATATTCCATAATTCAAAAATTGAGAATTCAATTTTCGTTTACAAGTTTGATGCAATCAAAAACGAAAATCAAATTAACTTCACTCAACCATCACACTGGCGCATTCCGCTAGACGATTCCGTAAATTCTAAATTGTCAATCCATGTTCTCAACCATTGATGGTAATCACAATCGGGTGGCATTCACCTTTCCTCGGTTGCCGGTACATCTCATGCCATCTCTAGGACTAACAGGTTGCTGGTACATCTCATGTCATCTCTAGACTAGTTAGTCCTTGACGATCTCTTCAAACTTTCTCTCTCCACTAACATTAAGCTCAAACTGAAAGGACGAGAGAAATATATCTTAGCCTTGAGAATCCAATGGCGTAAGTTGAATGCACAGTGATTCAAGAACCACTACAACAAAGCAATTTGAAAAGACAGGTTATGGTGACATGGTAAAATGCTCCTTAACCTGCAAAGAAAAGGATGATAAACCTACTCAGACAACCAAGAGGCCATCCGAGCACTGGGATGGTCAATCTCCCACTAGGTCTCTTTGCCTCTTGAACCCGACATACACAATCACAGTTAAAGAACGACGCCCCAGCCCAAATAAGAGAACCTCATCTTTGTTGCGCTTCCAAACTACACTCCATTGGAGAGACTGAATTAAACATAAAAATGATTTTAAATTTTATATTATTACTTTTATCTTATTAGATGTTAATAATGAAAAACATAAAAATATTTATTTTCGAGAATTATGCCATTTATGTTTAATTTAGAAGAGTTTTGAATAAAAAGCTCACTTTCATTTTGGAATACTATGGTTAATCACTTTAGTTTAATTCAGTCTCTCCACTAGAGTAAAATTTCCATTTTGGAATACTTCAGTTAATTTTATTCCAAAATGAAAATGAGCTTTTTATTCAAAGCTCATATTCATTTTGAAATACTTTGGTTAATCACTTTAGCTTTTTTTATCAAGTAAAATAAATCCAGTAAAATTAAAAACTAACAAATACATTTTATCAAGTATGAAAAAAATATCTCTATGAGTTTGTTATTTTTTTTTTCTAGTTGCTTCTCAGATTTTAATAAAATGTACTATGATACAATAGTATATAACTACTCTAATTTTGGATAGTTTGATGACTTAATTGTTCTCGATGATATATTTCCAAATAAAAAAATTGTGTTCACTTTCATTTGCATCTGCAATTTGTGACTATGACTTCCAACCAAATATGTTTCATTTGAATGTTGTATAAGCTTGTAGTTTGTTACAAATCGAAGAAATTTTTAATGTTTAATCGCTAATCTTTTTTAATGATATGAAATTGCCACCTATAACTAGTCTTCATGATCAATTGTGTGATAATAAACTGTGCTTTACATCAGGTCAGAAATTGTAGATCAAATCATACAAACAAACATGGTCTAAATAAAAATAGAATCAGAAGATAATATATTAAGTTTCTAATTATGTTTTTTTTATAAAGATATACGTAGACCAATAATAGTAACACATGCAAATACGTAAACAAAATTTTTAAAAATCATATTTTTTTTTTGTTGCACCAAGAGTAACATCAACAAATTTTGGAGCAATATAAACAAAAAGAAATCTATACCTTATTTATTGGTTTCATTAAGTAGATGTTTGTATTTGTAATTCTTTTCACAAGTCTTACCAAATATACATTTGGCGGATGACTCTATGACTTCTACTTTGCAATTCAATGAAAGTAGATGGGTTTCATTAAGTATTGGTTTCATTAAGTAGATGTTTGTATTTGTAATTCTTTTCACAAGTCTTACCAAATATACATTTGGTGGATGACTCTATGACTTCTACTTTGCAATTCAATGAAAGTAGATGGGTTTGGAAGGATTCATTTGGAAATATTTAAATAATGGGAACAAGGAACCAAAGTAAATGACAGTCTTCTTTATACTTAGATCTAGAAGAGCTTATTTAAACAATGGAGAATAATTTACTACATTCTACCTATCATAACTTTGGAAAGTACTATTAAATTTTGATCACCATGCTTTTCAGAAACATATGCATGGTCAAATTTCTCAATCACTGATATATGGTGTTTTAACATCTTGTATATATATTTTATTAATTGTTTTCAAGTCTTTATCGAGTCTTTCTAATAATTTCTGAGTCATTAAAGGTTTAGAGTAGCTAAGGAGACCTTTGGAGACACACATAAAGAAAAGCATGAAAATTGGAAGTTTTCTGCCGCAGAGCACCCAAACGGAGTTACCCCGTCATGCTCCCGTGAAGTTATGGAAACTTCTGATTAATTTCGGGATTTGCCTTTGTTTTCTATCTTCTTCTCCCAGCCGTCTGTGGCCTCTTAAAATAAGTTTTTTCCTATTCTCTTTATTTTTCTCACGCTATTCTACAGACAAGAAACCATGGGAGATTTTGCACTTTTGTAAAGGGAGAAAGATCTTCATCTCTCTCATTTTATAGAAGACCTCATGGACCCTAATTATTTTTTATTGCAGTGTTATTTCATGTGTTCTTCTATTATGATCTCTGTGTTTTCTTGTGCTATGGCTGAGTAGTCGGATTTGTTAGTCTAGGGTTCTAGGGTGTTGATTCATGAACTGAACATAGATAAGCTTCATCTTTTTGTCTTCGTTTATAACTGTTCTTAATACTAATACTAATCTAATCACTTAGTGTTTGAATCTCGGTTTAACCTTTTATCATTAACCATGAATTAGGTTGCTAGATCTATTATAAACGAGCATCATATCCATGATCAGCGAGAGTAGATATCAGAGTATTTTGTGAACGTATTAGGTCTGAGCTTATTGTTTGCTGTCGAGCCTTGATCCAAGCGAGAGCATAGGTGTCAAGGTCGCTCCGCAAAAGGAGCATACCTGCGAGAGCAGGGTGTTCTAATTAACAAATCGGAGTTCTAGGCTGTTCTTAAAGAGCTTGAATAATTGTTTGGTTCGGTAAGATTAACACCCAATGAAGCACCCTAGGCTAGCATTCTTCATCATCTGAAAATCCCAATCAAATATGTTACTTGCTTGTTTTATTTTCTTAATTTAAAAACCATTCATTGTCTTATCTTAATATTGATTCCATAGAAATAAAGTGTAAGATTTGGTCTCTGTGGATTCGATCCTCAAGTACTATATCGAACCTCTTATTTGAGAGAGTAGTTTGAAGGTTAATTTGAGCATATCAATTACGCTGAAGGAGATAATGGTGCTACAAAGACAATTTCAATCATTCAGACTTTTTTACATCCTAGATACCAGAATACAATTGCTGGTTCTTTATCTTGAACTACAAGATCTTTCTATGTGAAATTTTTAATGTCGGTTGCTTTATTTATGTATGGCTTTTCAAACCACATTTTGTTTGAATAATTGAACTGTCGTTTGATATCAATATTAAAGAAAAAAGATATCTGCACTACTTTGAAAATATCAAACAATTATATCTTTATTAATCTATAAAAACCACATTTTCTTAAAAAAATTTGGTCAATTACTAATAAAGCAATGAAGCTTAAACACACAAAAGATAAAATAGTCTGAATGGTAAAAACAGTTCAAGTGGTGCAGAT